GGCATTTCTCTAATTGAGCCATCTCTCCAGTTCCTATTTATTTTTGTTTGTAGTAATATCTATATATTGTTATATAAATAAATATTAAAAATATTGTAATATTTTAATACACACATATCATATATGTTACTCATATTCATGTCCCATTTCACTCTTTGGTACTCAATGATGTACAATTGAGCTTATTCCATAATTTGGTTAATGTGAATAGTACCAAAACAGCATGATCTGCACATATCTTTATTGTCTACTGAGTTTGATTCTTTTAGGCACGCAACTATGAGTGCTAACGCTGGGTTATGTGGAATTTTTTAAATTTTTTATTTTATTTTATTTTATTATTTATTTTAAGTGTTTTCAGCAAAAATATTGCACTAAATTTCATAATGGCTATACTAATTTATATCCTGATAAACTACATATGAGAGTTTATTTCTCATCATGTTCACAATATCATTGCCTTTTGTTTTCTGATGATATTAATTGTTTTGGGTATAAGATGGATTCTCAGCATAGAATTTATTTGGTCAGCTGTTTCTTTACTCTGGTGGTACTAGAAGTGCTTGGATATTCAGTAACAAACATCTGTGACAGGGATACTGGGGATTATCTAGGGCAGGGGCAGTACTGTGCTCCATCCATGAGACAGATAAAGAACAGAACATCCTAGAAAGACAGAAGGTGGAACTATGCAGAAAGAAAAAGTATAGCCTTTATCTATTGGAATGGGAACACTTGTAAGTCTAAGATAATTGGGCTTTGCCTAGGGGGTTTTACTGAGCCCATGTGTCTTCTCCTTTCAACTATTCATCTTGTTTAGGTTACCCACCCATGCCTTCTTACCAGTTCAACTCAAGTTGTCTTCTAGGAAAAAGAAGTTTCCATCTCAAGGATCTTACTTTTTCTTTCCCATCTGTCTGTACTCCTATAACACTTTCTCAGCCCTACCTCCTCAGAGATCAACAGCAACTGCTGTCAAAGATGGAACCTTGATTGCTCTAGATACTTAATTAGGAGATGACCTGGAACTTAGAAGGAATCACACTGGGTCTGGTTCACAGTTTAACTTGGTTTAGGAGTGACAACATAAGCCTCTGTCCTGCATCTCCAGGAGAAATTCTGTTCAGCTATTTGAGATCAACGTGTTCTGCTCCATGGCAGCACAGTCCCCTACCCCCCTTATTTCCAGTGATGGTAGGGACTCACTGTGAGTGCCATGATGGTAGCCATGGTCAAGGGATGGGAGCTCTCACTTGTAAGTGGACTCTGAGTGCTGGATGATCACAGTCTTTTCCAAGTCCTTCTTTGTTATTTTTAGTCAAGTATATGACCTGAGTAGAATGTTTCTCTAATACCAGATGAAAGTCTCAAGGATATATAATGGGGGAGCTGTGATTCATCAAAGGGATCACCTTTCTCACTGGGATGGAGAAAGAACTGAGAATCCTGGACAGACAGAAGACCAAGCTGTGAAGAAATCCAATATCCCTCAGGGATATGAGGAATACTAAGGCTAGGAGGCCACTAAATGGGCTCTGGGTTGAACATTCTATAGGGCTCCTGGGTCCTCCCTTTTCTTTTACTGTTCATGACTCAGTAACTACAACCCTTCTCGTGCCTTCCTGTTATTTTCTTGGTGATGTCTTGTGAGAACAATAATCTCCATCTCAGGAATTGCAGTTTCCCTTTCTAATCTGCCTGTGTTGTTCTAACTGTCCCTTACACCTGTGTCAAAATGGGGCTTCCTTAAGTTGATGCTGTAGAAATGCAGTTGATCTCAGCACTTAGACCATAAACAACACCATGTTCACTTACTAAACTCTATTGTTACTTTTATCCTACTGAAAAGCTCTGGTCTCCAAAAATTATAAGTTTATAAATCTCCTCCTGCATATTTCTTCATGTTTCCATTGTAATCTAACAGGCAAGGTATCAGAGGCCCATGTAAACCATAGCTTAATTGAGTATTCAGAAAACCAAGCAGACAACAAAAAATGTGTTTTCTTTTGTCCTACAACATGCTTCATACCTTTGCACATGCTATCAGTTGAGAGCCAGCAGTGTGTCAGATCCCTTTCTGCCCAACACTCATGACATCAATTCTCACTATATATTTTCCAGTCAGACTCTTCCCTTGCCCACTAACATCTACATAAGGAATAGAATGAGGGGAAATAGCAACCATGAAATCATTCTCTTCAGTGGTACAGTGTGCTTGACAAAAGCATGACAGATACATTTCAGTACATTTGAAAACTAGAAGGTGCATGGTAATAACACATGATGGCAGCCAACACAGCTTTGGAAAACATTCGACGATGAAAAATAAAGCCTAAAAGTATGCTAGCCTGGAGGACAGCCTTCTCAGGCGTGCATTCCCAAGTTCGTCGAGAATCTGTTGAGATGGCAATGACCACCAATCACCACAGTGTCATTCTATTTCAGCCCAGAGACCTAGAGCCACTCTTGTAGTGATACTTTTTCAGTTATTGGAACACCGAGACTTATATATTTTGGAATGTCCTTATTGATTATGCTTCTGAAATAACAGTTTTACAAAATATACAAACATCCATTAACATTTTTTCTGATTCATGAGCATTCAATCCTCTTGAAAATTTTATTTTATCTACTCTTTGATAGACATATAATATATTTAGATCACAATCAAACCCTACTCCCTCCTTCAAATTCTCCAGATCCATCTTCATTAGATCATTTGTCTTTATTCTATTCTTTGTAAACTTTCTCCAATTATAAGTGCCATTGTGCACATGAGCATAGATCAATCCACTGGACCAGAGACAACCTACTATGACATACATTCCTGGAGACAACTGATTCTGTCTTCTCCTGAATTATTCATGGCCTGTATCTCTCAGCTACCAATGGTGCCAGGTCAAAGCTCTTCCACTCATCCTGGAATGTTGATTGGCTTAATCCTGTGTAGACACCACAGTTGCTGAGTTCATCAGTACAAGAATTCTGTCATATTCAGACAATATTTTATAGCAATCTTCTCAGACTTCTGGTTTTTCAAGTTTCCATCCTTCTATGTCAATATTTGAGGCTGACCACACCACAATCAATTATTCTTTTGCTTTGGACAAGTAGTGAGAATCTCTGTTAATTATTGTCTTTTAGAACAAGGAGCTTCTCTGATTAAGGATGAGAACTGTAATAATCTATGGGTATAAGGGTAAAAATTTAAAAATTGGCTTAATTCTATGTTTACTTAGCAAAATTAGTTAGATTCTCTTCTTGGGTGCATGCTTTCACATCTTTTTATTTATTTTTTAATTGTTTTTATTGAGCTATATAGATATTTTTTTCTCCACTCCACTCCTTCTTCCCTCCCCTTCTTCCCTCTCCCATGATCCCCATGCTCCCAGTTTACTCAGAAATTCTTGTCTTTTTCTATTTTCGATGTAGATTAGATCCACATATATCTCTTTTAAGGACCTCTTTGTTGTTTGGGTTCTCTGGGATTGTGAATTGTAAGCTGGTTTTTCTTTGTCTTATGCATAAAAGCCACGTATGAGTAAGTACAAATTATATTTGTCTTTCTGGCTCTGGGTTACTGCTATAGGAATTCCTACAGCCAGTAGCTTTTAAGTTATCCAACCACTTGAGCAAGGCCTGTTATTACATATATGCCAACGTACAGTGTGGGTCTGGCCTCTTTTCCAGTGGCATGATTCGGTTTCCAGTTTGTGCAGAGGATTGTGATCTGTGAGTCTACCCCTAAATAAATAACCTTTTATTATATTCAAGTCTGAGTTAGTGTGAGATTTCTTTTTAGAGTACTTCTTCATCTGGTGCCCAACGTGGATTTTGGACTCTGTATCTACCAGGTGGAAAGCCTCCCACCCCCACCTGCTTGGCTAGCTTTTGCCTAAGCAGATTTTTGTAAAGCCCCTGACACGTTGTAGCTAACTGCATGCGGTTACTTGGAAATTTCTGAAGTTTACACACATCCCTTCCCCCACTGCTGTGTTCCTTGCCACATGGCAACTTGTGCAGCTTCCTGTTTGTGCTCCCTGCCCATTGGTTCTGGGCTTCTTTCTCCTTGTAACAAATGAATTTAATTGATTTTAACTTGTCAAGAAAAGCATACTTTTTAGTATTTAACCAGTACCAAGGCAGGAAACTAAAGCTGCTCGGGACTTTTCATGTCACCACTGGTTGCATAGCAACTAGTTGTGACTGTAATTCTGACACCTACTGGACAATGAAGATTATTACACCTAAAACAATTTGACCTCATGACAGGTAATTTCAATAAATTTGAAAGTTATATAATGGTAGACAACAATACCATTGAAACTTTTAGAAACTTTTTTGCTAATACTCTGGACTGTGTTCTGTAAGGCTTATATGGTTAATTGTGATACATTCATTTATTGGACATTGGGACTCAGTTTTTTCTTCATATTATATCCTTAAGAAAATGGTTTGATAACAGAGCCAAGAATGAGGAACATTTAGAAATGACACAGTCTTTACAGACAAATAATGAACAGCTAGCTGCCAGGATTAATACAATCAAAAATCAAAAGTTACCTGAGAAAATTAATAGTATTGAAAAGGGTAACATTAATTTGACAGTCAAAATTGAATCCATGTCAAAAAGTACTAAGAAATTATCTAAAATAATTCATATTGTTGTATTTGACAATCAAAAATTGTTAAAAAGTTATAGGTTAGCAGATAGAGTATCTCTCCAGGAAGGCAATTGGAACACTATCCAAATAATGTCCAAGGATAAGATGTTATCTTTAAAGGAAAAACTTCAGATGTTGGAATCACACGTGCAGAATGAGGACCAGAGACTAGGTGCCTCAATGAAATCACTAGCAATATATACAAGTCAGGAAATTCAGGCTTCACAAAAACAGAAGCAAAAACATTTGAAATGATTGAGGAAAGTATTGGATCTGATGAACAGGGAGAGAAGGTACAAGGATAGGATTTAACATCACCAGTAGCTATCTGAGTTGACTTACCAAGGGTTTTAGTTTCCTACCCTGTAATTTACTCTGACAAAGTATAAAGTTCTAAAGGCACAAAAGGATCCAAAGAAGGTAGATGAATACATATAAGAATGAATGTTCTGAAAGAAATTAAGCAAGCTATAGTGACTTATGACTTGCATTCCATATTTGTTAGGGAGATGGCAAAGACATGGGCTTCTAGCATTAAAACCATGCCACATGACTGGCTTCAGTTAGTTTCATCGGTCCTAGTTAATGGGCCACAATTGATGTTTAAATGCTATATCAGAGAAAGGCTAAAATTAGAACAGGGAAAAGCAAAAGTACTTGAGACTTCCAAAGGTCAAATTCTTGGTGATGGTAATTATGCTGACACATAGGTTCAAGCTCTTTACGATGAACAAATCTTGTCCCCATGCCACAAAGCAGCCTTAAATGTTTGGGACAGGATTCAAGAACTAGAGAAATGAATTGAATCATTTACCAGGGTTAAACAGGGCCAGAAAGAACCCTTTAGTGTCTTTTTATAAAGATTAACTAAGGCTGTACAAATAGATGAGTCCTTGAATCTCTGGCTTTTGAAAATGCCAGCTTAGAATACAAAAAAAAAAAAATATGCTTGTTCCTTTAAAGATTAGATCAGCACTGATAGATGAATGGATCCCGCATACAATGAACATTGAGACATTTGACTGTAACGCTTAATCTTGGGTAGGAGAAGCCATTTCCAAAGTTATGAGGAGACATCAAAGTGCCAAATGTTTTAATTATGGTAGAATAGTACATCTGAGAAGGGATTGTAGACAAAGAATTCCTAGGAATAATGTCTCCTCTGCAAATGTCAAGAATAGAAGAATTTAGCCGGATGGTGGTGGCACACGCCTTTAATCCCAGCACTTGGGAGGCAGAGGCAGGTGGATCTCTGTGAGTTCGAGGCCAGCCTGGTCTACAAGAGCTAGTTCCAGGACAGGAACCAAAAAGCTATGGAGAAACCCTGCCTCGAAAATAAAAAAATAAAAAATAACAAAAAAGAAGAATTTAGCCTTCAGATATATTTAGAATGTGTGGCAAAGGTCAACATTGGACCAATCAATGCAGATCAACAAAAGATAGACAAGACAACCTGATATCATTGGGAAATTCCTTTGCGGGGCCTTTCACAGTCCCCCAAGTCAAAAGTGGACCAGTCATTCCCAGTCACTGTGAAAGTCATGTCTCACTAGCAAAATTAAAAAAAATCTAGTGCCTTCTGGAAAAAAAATACTGTTCTGGATGATGAAATAAACATGGAGGATAAATCAAAAATTTCAATAGAAAATAGGAAACATATATTCTGGCAGACTTCTATAAATGATCAAAGGTTAAAGCTAATAGTGCATATAAATGGTATTGTAATTGTGGATTTGATAGATACAAGTGCAGACCTGATATCATTACTCCAGAATCTGGGCATACAAATTGACCTCTTTCAAGAGTCAGATGCTCAATTACTAGGTATTGTAACCATATCTCAAGAGTAACAAAGCATTAAATGGGTTGAATGCATAGGGTCAGAAGGACAGAGAGGAATGCTGAGGCCATATGTGGCTAATATTGCAGTGAATTTATGATAAAGTCACCTGATGAAGCAATAGAATACCCAGATTAACATACCTGCATTCCCAGAAACTCATACTTCTGGGAAAAATATTATAAGGTACTATACACAAAGATCACCAGCCATTCTAGATATACAAGAACACAAAGCAACTATCAGACCTTTAGAGGTACCAAAAACACTACCTTTAAAATGGTTAATTGAGAAGCCAATATGGATTAAACAATGGCCATTAACAGAAGACATATTGCAGGCTTTAGAACAGTTGGTACTGGAGCAACTAGATGCTCACCATATCGAAGAATCAACCAGATATTGGAATTCTCCTGTAATGTTAAAATGAAATCTAGTAAGTGGAAATGGTGATAGATCTAAGTGCTGTCAAAAGGTAGTTTAACCTATGGGATCTCCCTCTACAATCTGGAATTCCTCTGCCTTCTCTATTGCCAAAAGAATGGCCTCTTATAGTTATTGATTTGAAAGATGGTTTCTTCACTATACCTTTATGAGAAAAGAACAGAGAAAAAATTGCCTTTATAGTGCCTACTTATAATAATTCTCAACCTACTAGAAGATACCAGTGGACTGTCCTTTCACAGGGAATGCTCAATAGCCATATTCTATGCCAATATGTTGTAAGTCAGCCATTGGAAATAATATGTAAAATAAATTCCTAAATCTAAAATTTACCATTAAATGAATGGCATTTTGCTATCTGATTCAAACAGAGATACTTTAGAAAGAATGTTTGAAGAAGTAAAGAAAGTTTGCCAAAATGGGAATTACAAATTGCTCCTAAAAAATACAGAGAGGAAATTCTGTTAATTACCTAGGTTATAGAATAGGTTTACAGAAAATTAGAACACAAAAGGCACAAATTAGGAGAGACTGCTTATGACTCTTAATGACATTCAAAGATGTTTAGGAGACATTTCTAGTCTATGACTTGCTGTTGGGATAATACCTAGTCTAATAATTCATTTAAACAAAACCATAGATGGTGATAAAGACTTGAATAGTCCCAGAGAATTAATAACTGAAGAGGAAAACAAATTGATTATTGTTGAAGAGAAATTACAGGGGACACATGGGGTTAGGGTGAATCCAAATCTTAATTGCATTTTAGTCATATTGCCTTTGAAAATTTCTTCTACAGGAATTTTAATGCAAAGGGAAGATATTATCATAGGATGGATCTTTTTACCACATAAACCAAGTAAAAAATTTAAAACTTATGTGGAAAAAAGTCACTGAATTAATTATAAAAGGAAAATTGAGAGTTTGTCAATGAGCAGGTTTAGATCCAGCAGAAATTATAGTGCCTTTCACTACTGATAAATTTTTAAAAGTATGGGAAGACAATGAACATTGGCAAAGAGCTTATGCTAAGTTATTTAGGAGATATTAATAGCAATTATCCCAAAAGTGATAGAATTAACCTTATAAAGAGAAATACTTGGATCCTTCTCCGCATAGGATACACCAATAACTGGAGCCTGTACATTCTATAGTGATGCAAATAAATCAGGAAAGGCAGTTTTCAAATCAGAAGATTTAAGTTAGCCCTTATAATTCTGTTCAAAAGGCAGAATTATATGCTGTTCTCATGGTACTACGGGATTTTAAAGAACTTCTTAATATAGTTACTGATTCAAAATATGCAAAAAGAGATTCTTGCATTTTGAAACTGGTGAATTTATACTAAATGCTACAGAATTGCCTTCATTATTCATATAGGTTCAAGATATAATCAGGAATAGGCTCTGCCCCATGTACATAACATACATTCAATCCCATACAGGTCTACCAGGTCAATGCATACATTGATCAAATATTGGAAATGTGTTGAAGGCCTCAGAATGTCATAAGAAACATCATGTCAACAGCAAAGATTTAAAGAAAGAGTTTTTCTTACATGGAAGAAAGCTAAGAAAATTATAAAGATATGTCCTACTTGTTCTTTCTAAAAAAACACTGCTACCTAGAGGGAGAAACCCAAAAGGTACTCAAAGGAATAAAATATGGCAAACGTGTGTGTTCCACTTTGCAGAACTTGGAAAATTGAAAATGCTCACCACACCATTGATACTTATTCAGGTTTTTAATGGGAAACTACTTTGAGCTCAGAAAAGGCTGATTCAGTAATTACACATTTATTAGAAGTTATGGCCATCATGGGTATACCTGTACAAATAAAGACAGATAATAATCCCACATATGTCTCTATGAAAAGGAAACAATTTTTTGCTGATTATAATATAAAGCATATTACAGGTATACCACACAATCCTACAGGTCAGGCATTTGTAGAAATGTCAAGTCAAACTATAAAGGATATGTTAAACAAACAGAAAAAGATGATGTAAAATAACCCCAGAAATTGGTTACATAATACTTTATTAACCTTGAATTTTCTTAACACTAATGAAAAAGGGACAACAGCAATAGAGAGACATTGGATAATAGAAAAGTCTTCTGAATTAAATCAGCTGGTATATTTCAAGGATGTGTTGACCTCACAATGGAAGCAAGGAAATGTGCTACATTGGGGAAGGGATTTTGCTCTTGTTTCAACAGGAGAAAAAATGTTATGGATACCATTAAAATTAATAAAAATTTTGTTTGAAAAAAAGAAATTTCTTGAGAAAAAGAAATGGCTCATCCATAGACCTGACAACGAATCAGGTGGTAAGAAAACCTCTTCAGGGTTGGGGCAGGTTTCTGTTCTTGTCTTTGCAGGAAAATACTCATCTTCAGAAAATCAAGAGACCCTGGACATCTAGATACCTAAAGAAAAAGAGATAATTATCCAGATAACATCACTAAGCAAAGAGAATTATCACTTGTGAGGACATCTAATCTGAGGTAAGAATCTCTGAATATTAAGCATTACATTAGGACTTGCTAAGTATACTGCAAAACATGCAACTTCAGCTTTTAGTGGTTGGATACCATCTCCTATCCTTCACACACACAAAGGTGTGTGTACCCATGTATACACACACAGATATAAATCCACTTCAAATATTAAAAATTAAAGCTTGCTGTTTAAGGAATTATATAAAAGAGGCTAGTCATTCAGGAAAATGGGGACTAGAGATAGTGAGATTGTGTATCTTTGTCACTTTTCTATTGCTGTGGAGACAAACCATCACCATGTAAACTCTTACAAATGAAAGCATTACATTTGGGACTTGCTTACAGTTTCAGAGGTTTAGCCTACTATTGTCGAAGCACAGTCAAAGGAATGATGCTTGTCGAACAATGCCTTTAGGAAACATGAGAGAAGCTCCGGGGGAAAATGCAGAGGGCCTTTTCACTGAAGTATATTTTGTTCCCTGGATTGTTCTTGGATGTGATTTCATGCCTCCTTTGTTAAATAGCTACATGTGATTTATAAGACATGTTTACTCATTTTAGGTATCAGAACATAGCTATAGAAACCAATTTGGTCAGTATACTCTGATTATCAATATGGCCTTCTACCTTTCTCTTGGTCTTCACCAGATATAATCTATAGTACAAGTAAGCCAATTTTGTTTTAAATGTCCTGTTCTAGAAAGCCCTGGGAAAGGGTGTGGCTCCATTACTTTTTAGTATGTGCTTATTGGTGTTTATTTGACAAGTTTTTGTTCATGTTTTGTTGAACTCCAACAGTCTTTTTTAGACCACTGCTTTCTTTGTTACATTTGTGTGTCAAAGTACACTGAAACTGGTGTAAGGCTGTTTATAGCAGAAGCTTGTATTCAGCTCCATTCTTTGGTGTCCTCAGCTCCCAGATCTAGCAGACAGATCTGCATAGACCAGCAAACATCAATACATTATCATCATGATGGGGAACATGGTGGCATGCAGGCTACATTGACTTGCTTCTTAATTTCATTTGCTTGGAGCATCTTTTTCCATTCTTTTATTCAAAGGTGAAGTCTATGTTTGATGTTAATGTGTCTTTCTTGAATGCAGGATAAGAATGGCTACTATTTTATTAGGAAATTTAGAACATTTTCCTTGCAAGCTTTTAAGTGTTTGTTTACTTGTTTTGAGGAATTGGTGGTGGGTTCCCCCCTTTTTTGATTTGATGGTTGACATTATTTTTCCTTGTGTTTTCTTTGGTGTGGTTATCTTCTTTAGGGTCCAGTTTTCCTTCTAGTGTCTTCTGTAGGGCTGGATTTTTAGACAGATTCTGTTTAATTTGGTTTATCATTGAATGTCTTACTCCATCTATGGTGATTGGAAGTTTTGTTGGGTATAGAAGTCTGAATGGCATCTGTGGTCTCTTAAAATAGTACAGGGTCTTCTAGACTTTAGATTTTCTTTTAAGAAGCCTGGTATTATTAAGCTATTATTATACTATGCCTCCTTTTGTTTTTTTCCCTTGTACTGTTTATATTCCTCTTTTTCATATATTAACAATTCTGAATATAAATATTAAGTGCCATGACAGTTTTTTTCTGGTGCAGTCTATTTGGTGTTCTGTATGTTCCATGTATCTTGATAGACATATCCTTTTTGAGGATTGTAGTAATTTTCTTCTGTGATATTGTTCAAATATTTTCGGTGCCTTTGACCTGGGTTGCTTCTCCAGATTTTGTCTTTTCAAAGTGTCCTAGGTTTCTCCAATATTTTGTGCCTAGAAATTTTTAGATTCAACACCTTCTTTGACCAAGGTGTCCATGTTTTCTATCATTATCTCCATTGGTTGAGATTATTTTATTTCATCTCTTATAATCTCTTGGTGAAGCTTGACCCTGAGCTTCCTGTTTGAGTTACTAAACTTTGTTTTCCATTCTTCCCTTACTTTCTGTTTTCTTTATTGATTCTATTTCTTCCGGCAAGTCTTGAACAGTTTTCTTCACTACATCCCACTGCTTCTTTGTGCTTTCATAGATTAAGTGGGTTATTCATTTCTGCTTTGAACACCTCTAGCATATTCATAAATTCTATTCTAAATTTATTGTCTTGTGTTCCAACTACATTGCTTTTATCAGGGCCTACTGTACTAGTGTTTCTGGGTTTTACTGAATACATGTCATATGGCTGTTACTGACTTTTTTATGCTGGAATCCAGGCATCTGGGTTTGGGATCACTGCAAACCCTGGTGCTGATATCTGATCTTGTCTTTATTGGTTGTTGCTGTTCTTTGCTTTATGTTGCCCTCTCTGGTTCTTAGGAGAGTGTAGTGACTCTGGTTTGCCTGGTAGGCTGATACTCTGTCAGATGTTGTAAGTAGGCATCCTGATATAATGAGGTTCTTCATATTGGATGCTTACACTTGGCATAAAAATTGGCTAGAAGAGGGGTGGTATATAGAAAGCAGGAAATAAATCAGAGTGTGCCAACAGAATCTACTTAGTGCTCTGGGAATGGCGGCAAAGAGGGAGGAGAGGGCATAGCAGGAAGTCTTGTATAGAAAGATATACCAAAGATATACCCAAAGATGTACTGGGGATGAGATTGGGTGATTGGATTTAGAGAGGAGGAAGAACATTGAAGATCACCTACCTGCTCCTGCTTCCCTTTGTTCTGTCCATCCTACCCATATTACTTTATTAGAAACCTCGAGGTATGAAAGGGTTGTTACCTTCTGATAATCTGTCCTTCTGTAGGATTACATAGACATAATCTAGATGCCACCTTTTCTGGCGTATTTAGCTCTCTGTGAATAACTTGAGCCAGAGGTGCCATGCAACAATATGAAGACAATGACTTGTATATGAAGATCAAGGCAACTGAGGACTGCATTGTTTCCATGATGATCAGAAGCCAGGCTTTCTTTTGCTCCTCTGGGTTTGTGCTCAGCGCCCCCTGCAGTTTGTGTCACTGTGTCACTCAGAGCACAGTAGTACACAGCCGAGTCTGACTCTTTGACAGCAGCTTTCTGTAAGTGGAAGGAAGTGGATTCTTTATCATATGTAGCTTCAAAACCTCTGTTGCTTCCCTTGTTGTTGGCTGTTGTGACTTTTAAAATCAGCTCCGGACTTTCTCCAGGATACTGGACATACCAGAAAAGAGTTGGGTACCCTGTGGTTGAATAAGTGCAGTTTATAAATAGGAAGTCGTTTTCTGAGAGAGTCACTTGATCTTTTTTCTGGGTCACCGAGTCTCCATGAGTCCTTCCTAGAGGAAGAAGAAGATATGTGTCACATTAATGACAAAGCTCTTAGATGATTAAATGTTTTTCTGACCTCATATAAGAAAGATCATAAATTTTAAGTCACTTCACTTACCAAGTATTAACAGCAACATCACAGTCACTAACGCTGGAGAAGTGTTCATCTTTAGTATCACCCAAGTAATGTTGACTCTTCACACAAAGAAATGATGAAATGACATCCAATGATGAACTTATGTAGCTTTGACTTCACAGAGATGATGATCTTGTGTCAGGAAACTCCTCCCCTTAGATGATACAGACAACCTAGGGTCTCTTACCTCCCAGAAGTCACTAGTGTACTCTTATCCTTGAAATCATTCATAAGGCACATGCCAATTTTAAGTTGTTCTTACATAAAGGATATAAGCAATGGTCATTAATATATCCAAGGTTGTCATTCTTAGGGTTTGATCTGACATGAAAGTTTTATGCTGAAATAATTGATAGGTTCTCTGTTTTGGTTTTTACCATAATATAAATTAAAGGCAAGAAGCAGATTTTACCAGTTTATCCATTTTATATTCCCTGATTTGAATTTGGAGTAAGATACTATTCAGGCCTAAACTGATGGCTCGGCACTTGACAGCACTGTTTATTGTTCTTACAGAAGATCCAAGTTTGATTTTCAGAACAAAAATAGTGTTTCTCAACCATCTGTAACTCTTATGATCTACGTGAGCACCAGGTACACACAGAATACATAATTACAAATGCAGGTAAAACACTCATGTACATAAACAAAATAAATAAATAAATTTTTAAATTTTTCTAACATTATCATGTCATGGTAATTATAAATGGGATTTCAGACTGTGTGATCATTAAAATCTGTTCTTTTTATCATCTAGAAATTTAAATGATGGGTTTATGCTGCCCATTTACTTAGGAGGTCATTGTTGTTCTGAAACGATGTTTGAAGGTTAACTGTACAGGACAGCCATAACTAAGGAAGCAATTTTGACTGGCGTGTAGAATTCACATGTTGTGCAATGCTCTACATCAAATGTAAGCTACGACCTTTTCCTTAGTTCTTTTCTGTAAATGTCATTGTGACCAATGGTGCTTGTTGTTAGGAAATGCAATGTTAACAGTCATTTGGAATTGGGGAGATATCTGGGACTCTTCCTTGCAGACCTGAAGAGAGCAAACAGTCAGCTCACACAAGTGTCTTCAGAAAAACTCCTTCCCCCAAGTGTCAAAGCTTCCACTTCTGAGTCTTTCTTCATGACTGCCGTGTTTCTATGGGAGCTCCTTCTGTCTTTTAATTTGTCCTAGTAATATTTCCTCATTGACAACATTTATTTTTCAAAATGTTATTCTATTTTTTATATAATTCAAAGAAAATTTTTATTAGTTCCACCAGTAGGTATATACCCTAAGGAAACAATCAGAACACTGCACTAAATATTTGTTGCAGTATTATATATAATAATTATAGAAATAAAAGCTAAACATCCTATACAGAAATTTATATTTACAAATAATAATTTTAAAGAATTTATTAAAAACCTTTTATGAATTATAGTTTAAAGCATATAATATAGCATTCAGTTATATAAAAGTATTAATGCTATGGAAAAGAATAGATGTTGTGATCATGGAAAAAGCATAAACACTAAAATCTAAATTATGTTTTAAAATTATATACTGAGAGGATAATTGGTAACTTTGAATCCCTCCTATGTGTCAAGTACTATTCTACGTGATAATTATATCCTCACAACAATATAATGAGGCAGTTACTATTATTACTCCTATTTTTTAAAAGTTCTTATGCAGTACTACGAAGGATAGTTTGTTGATTGGTAATACAGTATAAGTGTTAACTAACATGCTAAACACGGGCAATAGAATTATGGGTGATTCTTCTTTGTACTTTTCCTAATTTGGGTGTTTGGTTTTTCACGTTAATGTATAGTCACAAAGCTATTCTTTTTCACCTTTGTCTACATCTGTTTTCTAATTGTTGTTTTTAACATATAAATGTAATCTGTAAATGCCAGCCTTTGGCTCAGAACTTTTGTCTCTTACAGTTCAAAGTAACAGATGTTGAGTCCATCAGAATTCCCCTCACTCACAACTTCTGTAGTTGTTTCAGAATGTGTTGCTCACAGTGTTTTCCTAATCATCTATTAAAGCAGCATTTTCTCTCTTGTTTTTATAATTTCACAGCCTTAGACTTCTGGACAGAAAGATATACTGCAAATGTACCTCCCTCCTACAAAGCAGGCGTCAACTCCAATGAGAAAGTAGTTGGTTACTCCAGCAAACCATCAGGTCACTATTGCAGCAGTGGGCCTGCCTTGCTTGTCAGGTTGGTCATTTAACACATGGTTTTGAAACAGACAATCATCAATCCCTGTAAGAATCTGTTACACAGAGCTTTTAGATTGCTGAGCACAGGGACATGCTAGAATTTGCTCACACAGGAAGAAGATGAAGGTTTACACTTTACTTCAGACATTGCTCTGTGCACCTACTCACCTAACTATTCGTTTCCCTCTGTTTACTTAAACCAAGATGTCATAGTACACAGTACACATTTAACATGTACAATAAATATGCATTTTAAAATAACCATTAAGCATCAATCTAAACTTCCTCGGTCATCTTGGGCCCTATCATACGTGCTTTTAATATCCATATGTTATTTTCTGCTCTTAAACAAACAATGTGACAAGTTTTGTAATGAAATGTCTGACATAGCACCAAGAATGTCACTCCAGCCCTGGTTGAAGGTTTGAAGACAGACTGCAGGTGCCTGGGGAGCAGTGTGTGCCTGCTGCACAGAAGTAGATGGCTGAATCTCCAGGCTGAGTGGCTGTGATGTGCAAGGAAAGGTGTTTGACTTTCTTATTCAATAGAAGAGTGAGTCTCTGGCTCTGCTTCCTTTCCACATTTGAACGGATGTCAATGATGAACTGAGGCTGCTTCCCAGGCTCTTGTTTATACCAAGGGAAGTAGACTGAGGCACTGTCTGTGTAAGTGCAGTTGATGACAGTGCTGTCTCCCTCCTGGACACTCACGGTGGAAGGATGCTGCTCCACCTTCTCGCCGTGGCTCCCCCCTATACAGAAAGATGGAAAGAAAGGAGAAAGGTTGTTAGGTTATTATGCTTTCTTGTTTTTTTTCTTATGATAAGAAGATAAAACATGAATAAAGCCATTCTTATGGATATTTAAAGTCCTCCCACTAACATTCTAATAGTACTCCACTCACAGTTCATCCAAAGGCAGAAAAGAATAAATAAAATATGAACTGCTGCCTTCATTGTGCTTCCTATGCAGATCTATTGTAGGTGCTCTGTCTTTACCCAGAAGCTTCTAGCAGGTTCCGTTTGACCCTTGTTGTTATAATCACACATGCTGAGTTATTTGCTCAGCCAATAAAAAAGGCCTATTCATTTGAAATTCACTAAGGTGGCCTTTCTGTGCATTATCTGAGGAACACTGCCACCCTGTGGTAAGATTTCTAACTGCAGAAATCTAGTGGGTTTTTTTTTTTTTTAAATCTTAGTCTAGGAAAGACTTTGAACTCAGCCCACAACCTAGCTGTGCTCACAGACTGTGCACCTGCTCAACCAGGTGAGTGCACTAGCTTCCTATTTATCCTCGTGAGTATCACATTTTCATACCTAGCTGGGTCATATAACCTGTGAACCAACCTAACCAGGTGAGTGAGTGTTCCAGATCCCACTATCCACTCAATCTGAATGTTCCCAGGCCTACCACCTGTGACTACACCTCTTGTCCACCATCCCAGCCAGTCGAGAGCCCAGAATCCATCTACTCACATCTTCTCCACACTTCAGAAGGCCTATTTTGAGTCTTGCAGTCATCATACCAACCCAGACATGTAAGTGTCCCAGAACCTCAGTGTGTCATCCACACAGTCCCTGGCATAGCTGGGCTTAAACAGCTTTTCATCAGCACACAGACATACACCGGAGCCATATCAACACACTTTTTTGATAACTAATTGTTGAAATAGGTGCAGTGGGGCTGCGTCCCCAGTACCCCAGCCGCCTGGCTAGCTTATGCCCGAAATAACAACACACAAACTGTATTCTTTTAAACACTGCTTGCCCATTATCTCCAGCCTCTTCTCAGCTAACTCTCGCACCTGGACTAGCCCATTTCTAATAATCTGTGTAAGCACCCCAAGGTGCGCTTACCAGGAAGATTCTAGCCTACGTCCATCCTGGGTCGGAGCTGCCTGGGAGAGCGGAGCCTGGCATCTCTGCTCCAGAGAGCCGAGCTATCTTGTCTCTGTCTGAGGAGTCTTACCTCACTTCCTCTTCCTCCTGTTTACTCCTCCCACCTATGTTTTAACCTATCAGGGCAAGCAGTTTATTTAATTAACCAATGAAATCAACAGATTGATATATGACACTCCCACATCAACTAATGAATTAGAATCACTCTCATCCTGCCATTTATAATGAATATATTGGGGCTGGAGAGATGGCTCAGTGGTTAAGAGCATTGCCTGCTCTTCCAAAGCTCCTGAGTTCAATTCCCAGCAACCACATGGTGGCTCACAACTATCAGTAAAGAGGTCTGGTGCCCTCTTCTGGCCGTTAGGCATACACACAGACAGAATATTGTATACATAATAAATAAATAAATATTTAAAAAAATAATAATGAATATATCTGTCTGGAGAGCTGGCCTACCAACTACCTACTGACCTACCAACTCTTCACACATGATCTGAAACCAACCAAGCTTGAACAACAGCAAAAACAGAAACAAAATTCTACTCCACAGAGGCAGGCTACAATATCAGACACAATGAAAGAAGTCTATATGCCTAGATCATATCACAAACACACAAACATCATGAAAGGCCAAGATAATCCCACCCCTCACAAAACACACAAATTCTATGAAAATGTTGTCCAATGAGATCTACCTAGATTAATCCTAGAACACAGAATTGAAAAGAATTATCATAAACATGATGATCTAATTAGAGGGACTTAGAGAGGACAATGATATTTGAAGAATCAGGATTTAAACAGCAGAGGGAAGATTAAGAAAACAAAAATATAGAGCTGAGAAAATAACTAACAGAATTCATGATTGGAAAACTTTATGTAATAAAGAAAGAAAATACTGAACCAAACTTAAGCTGAAATAAAGATCAACAGCACATTTGCCAAAGTCAGGTGAAAGGCTTATAAACAGAATGAAGTAAAGCATAAATACTAGGATGTGAAAATAGAGAAAGTGCACCAGATAATCAAAGTCATGTTAAAAAATGAGGAAACTTTGAGACACTATAACAAGACTAAATACACAAATTATAAACATAGAAAAAGAATAGGAACTCCAAGTCGATAACATAGGATATATGCTCAATAGTGTTACAGCAGAAAACTTCCCTCAAATTCCAGAAAGATGCACCCACTCAAATGTGATGATTGAAAAATATTTCATGACATAAACAGCCTAACAGAATTTTATACGCAACAAACCAGACCTAAGAAAAATAGAAAAACCAATATATCAAACTTATTAAAAATAAGAATAGCAGAGAGACAGAGAAGGAATATAAAAGTGCTAAGTATAAAAACATAAAATACTACTGAGGACACAAACAACAACACCCCATTGACCATAGCTAATATACTCTTCAACAACACTGAAAAGCAAGTCTTTAATCTCCAATTAAAAGACACAGACTGGAAAAAATGGGTCAAGAAACAAAATCTACCTAAATACTACCTTCAATAAACACATTTCTATTTTAAAGATCAGTACCACCTTCGAGAAACATGATACACAATAGTGCTTCAAGAAAACGGGAATATGATACAAGTATACATCACTATCCTAATAACTGAAAAACTGACTTTAAACTAATATTAAACTTAAGGGATAGAGATACTTCATTTTAATCAAATGAACATTTAATTAAGAAGATATTAATATCCTAAGCCTAGTTCATCAAACTTAGGGGCACCAATTCTTATTAAATATACTATTGGATTTAAAGACACAGATTAACATCTATCCATTAATAATTAATGGTTTACTTCAATATTCTATTCTCTCACTTAAACAGGTAATCTGAAAAAAAAGAGAAATACCAGAAGTAATTGACATCATACATCACATGGACTTAAAAGGTATCTACAGAATATTCTGTTGAAACTCCAAAGAATACACATTGTACTCAGCAGCTTTTCTAAAATAATCCATAACCTCAAACACAAAATAAGAACAAAATAAAAAAATGCCTGAGCTAAAAGGCCAAACAGTATTGTAATTGATAACATTTCTGTGTAATTCTTATGGTCTGGATGGCTGTGAAATGAGTGAGCAGTCTCTGGTTAAACAAATATTGTAGATAAAATGATTTCAATCACTCCTTGTAGCCTATCTGATCAAAGTGCAATAAAACTTAAAAACAGTGAATGACTTAAAGAAAAAAATCGAGAAAGAAATAAAAAAAAACTCAATGAAAATATTGCAAATAGGATAAAGACATGCATCAAAAAGAATATATTACATGACAAAGTAGACTTTATCCATGTATGTAGGATGGTTCAACATATGAAAGTCAATAAATGTAACAAATCACATAAACAGATTTAAAGACAAAATTTACATTACATCTCAATGGTTGCAGAAAAAGTCATTGTTAAAATCCAAGATATCTTCATGATAAAAATCATAGAGAACATAGGTCTAGAGGGAACATACCTAAGCACAATAAAAGCTATATACAAGAACCCATAGGTACATCATAATACTAAATAGGAAAAAGCTTGGTGCAATATTACCAAAGTCAAGAGTAATACACAGATATGTACTATCCCTATTCCTTTTCAATGCTGTGCTCATGTACTATCTTGAACAAAAAGGTAAGAGAAGGAAAGTAAAGGGGGTAGAAATAAGGAAAGCAGATATCCTTATATGCAGATAATATGACACTGTACATTAGAGATGAGAAAACTTCTAATAATGATAAAAATAGTTCAACAGTGTGGCAGGTTGCAGAATCACCTTGCACAAATCAAAGCTGTTCTATACAAGAACAACAAACAGCCATAAAAGGCAATAATGGACCCATTCCTATTCATAGTATTTTCAAAGAAAATAAAATATCTAGGAATAAACCAACTAAGAAAGTGAAAGATCTCTACACTGAAAACTTTAAACCTTGGAAAAACGACAGAGAAAAACATTAGAAAGTGCAAAGGTATCACATGCTCTTGTATGATCATGTATAATCAACATTGTGAAAATGATTATTATATTTTCAAATGATTATATTATATTTTCTATATTTACAGATTCAATGCAATCCTAATCAAAATATTTTTTCTGGTTCTTCATAAAAAGAGAAAATTCCATAAATTTGTATGAAACCACAAAAGACTAAGTGTACACAAAACAATTCTGAACAGAAAGAATGACACCGGAGGTACTACAATTTCAGATCTTAAAGTATATTTAAAAAACACAGTAATAAATAAAATATGGTTTTGTCACAAAACAGACATGCAGACCAATGGAACAAGACCAAAGACCCAAACATAAGCACATGTAACTTCAGTCACTTAATAGTCAACAAGCACAACATCAAACACATAACCTGGAAAACAAAAGAAAACATCCTCAACAAATGATATTGAGTAAATGAATATCCACATGCAGAAGAATGAGATTAGATCTGTATCTATTATCTTACACAAAATCTAGATACAAGTAGATAAAAGTATTAAACCTGAAACCCAAAACTCAGGAACTCTTAGCAGAAAAAATAGACAATACCGTTGACTAAGAACCAAGGTCAACAATGGACAACAATGGACAAGTGGGACTTCATGAAACAAAAAGCTTCTGCATGATGAAAAGAAATCTATCATGTAAAGAGGAAGCCACAGAATGGGAAAGAATCTTTGTTAGTTATACTTCTAACAGAGATTTAATATGCAGAATATCCAAAAATGTTCAAAATAAAAAAGTTAAAAAAAGACCCATTTAGAAATGGGCATGAGACCTAAATGACAGCTTTCAAAAGATTTTTTAAGTGAGTAAAATTGTTCATTAAATATAGCAATTAAAAAAATACAAATCAAGACAATTTTGTGATATTTTTTATTATTCAATAAGAATGGAAAAGATCAAGAAAACAACAGACAACAAATGCCGGACAGGGGTGCAGGGCAAAAGAGACCCTCATTCACTGTTGGTGGGATTGTGAACTGTGACAGCCATTATGAAAATCTGTGTGGAGAATTCTCAAAAAGATAAAAATCCATCTACCCGATGACCCAAGTAGAGTATTCCTTTGCTTATGCTCAAAAGTTTGGATACACTACTGCATGTTCAACTTCCTAAGCAATCTGGGAAATGCAAATCAAATCAAAACAACTTTGAGATACCATCTTACACCTGTCAGAATGGCTAAAATCAAAAACACCAATGATAGCCTATGCTATATGGAATAAGGGGAACACTCACCCATTGCTGGTGGGAATGCAAACTTGTGCAATCACTTTGGAATTCTGTGTGGTGGTTTCTCAAGAAACTGGGAGTCAACCTACCTCAGGATCCAGCAATTCCACTCTTGGGAATATACCCAAGAGATACCCAATCATACTACAAAAGCATTTGTTCAACTATGTTCATAGTAGCACTATTTGTAATAGCCAGAACCTGGAAACAACCTAGGTGCCCCTCAATGGAAGAATGAATAAGGAAAGTGTGGCACATATACGTATTAGAGTTCTACTCAGGGATGAAAAACAATGACGTCTTGAATTTTGCATGCAAATGGATGGAAATAGCAAACACTATCCTGAGTGAGGTAACCCAGACCCAAAAAGATGAATATGGTATGTACTCACTCATTAGTGGATCCTAGCCATAAACAAAGGACATTGAGCCTTTAGTTCGTGATCCTAGAGATGCTAAATAATCAGGCGAACCCCCCAAAAAACATATATAGATCCTCCTGGAAATTGGAAGAAGACAAAAAAGTTGGGAGCATGGGGGTGGCGATAGGGTGGGGGAAGGGGAGGGGAGAGAGAGAAGGGAGAAGGGGAGGATGGGGAG